AGTCCTTGGAGGAACCCCGTCCTCCTCGCTGCCTGCCGGGGGTGCAGAGTCGCTCGGCGGAGCCGGAGGCGCGGGGGCTGCGCAGCTGCGCCCCGGTCCGCGCGCTAGCCTGGGCTTCTGCAGCTGAGGACTCGGGGAACCGTGCAGGAGAGGAGAGGCTGAGCTGCTTTGCAGGCGGTGACATCCGCGGGGTCTTCTCCTGGGTATGCTGCACCTTCGGGGGCCCGCCGGCTGCTAGTGAACTCCAGAGCTGCAGGGATGGTGGGGCAGTGAAGAGGGGCCGAGGGCGGGGAGAGGCTGAGAACCGGGTAGCACGCCTCCTCTCCTTCCAAGCAAAGCATCGGAGCCAGGGATGTGCACGGCAGAAACTCAGAAGCCTCTGCGCCTTCCCTGCCACTCATCCCACAGAAGAAACAGTGCAAAGGGAAGGGCTGTGCTTCCCAAACTCCCAGCACCGAGGGGGACCAGGCCGCCTTGAAGGGGCGACGTTTCAGATAAAGACACAGAGGCCACAGCGGCTACTGTGAGTCTAGTTTTCTTGGGAAGAAATAAAAAAAGGGGTGGTGAGAACTGCTCACCAGCCTGCAGGATCGAATGCACAATGCTTGGGGGGGTCGGAAGAAGTAGATTAGCCAGGCAAGGCTGGCAGTGGGGAGCTGGGAGCTGGGAGGGGCCCAGCCCTGAGCCCCCCCCCCCCACACCTATCTTCTTGGAAGAAGCTGGATGTCGCTGAAGCAAAGTTGAAAATGAGAAAGAATAACCTTTTCCCTTTCCCCATCCAGGAAATAGCTGAAGGTATTTATATATCTTGGGGAGATTTAGAGTATAAACTCTAAGATCTTTGGTATTTAAGTGTCAACATCGATTTATTTATTTATTGCTGAGCTGACCGTAACTGACTCAATAACAAATCTAATCATGTATCGCGCTGGAAAAGGAATATTCTCATTATGTATTTTCTCCAAATGATGGCTCCACATTGCATCTGAATGCCCGCTGTAAATATCAATAATATCGAGTAATTACTCAGTAGTGGAGTAAACTAATTTATTAGCGTTAATGTTTATGTGGCTCCTACTCCCCTCCTTTACAAGGGAAGCTTATCACAAATCATGCTACTCCGACACATCGGTTTAATGAACTCTTTATTTGGGGTTTGCTGCAAGAACGTTCATGCTCCTCGAGTCTCTGAGAGCTGAACTCGAAATTATTTGTGCATCTTCAGCTTGACATATTTGCCCACTGTGGCTTGTGCAGAGGACGGTAACAGTGTGAGGAAAGAGGTCTGGTGGGAAGGAAGGTTGTTGGGGAAGGGTAGCCGGAGACCTCCTAAAGCTGGAAATTACAATTATGGGATTGCCCTGCAGCGGGAGAAAAAAAGAAAAAGAAAGAAAACCACCACCAAAAAACTTCGATTTTCAGCAGCGACCAACAAGGCAAAATATTTATTTCTCTACAGTGTCTCTTTCTTGGAGACGGACTGTGAAAGCCAGAAGGAGAGGGGTTTGAGGAGCAGGAGTTGAGCCAGTCTCTGGCTTGATTTTGGCTCTCCCAAACTCTCTCCCAACAGCCCACCCAGTCCCCGCCACCCCCACCCGGGAACAAAAGGAATGCATGAGGGGCTTCAGGGACTGTGCAGTAACAAAGGCGCCACCATCGCGGGGCTTGCCCCGCCCCTGGGTGAAGGCAAACAAATTCTTGCACTTGTATTAGGGCTTTTAAGACTATAATTGAACCCGGGGGCGTCTAGGGGAACCGAAAACAGCTCTAGACAGACCTGGGGTTTTATAGCAGTTTTGGCAGTCAACTTCAGCTTGTGCCTGAGCAGACCGGCTGTGGTGGCCCGCCAGCGGGGGACGCCAGGCTGCCTCCCCAGCTGCTTGCAGCCCCTCTTCTAATTAGACCGGTTTTCCCCTTGGTGCCAGGGAGAAGGGGTCCCCACAGAAAGGTCGGTGTGGGGATGTGCTCTGTTCCGCATAGCCAACGCCTCCTGTGTCCTTGAGAGACAAGGCGAGAGGGTGCCGGCAGGTCTGGATCCCATGGGTGTCTGCAGGGAGACAAAGGCGAAGTCCCGAGGAGAGGCTGGAGCAGAGGAAGGCGCTCCGGGAGCGGCCGGCAGGGCAATGCGAAGGGCTGTACAGAAGCGGGGTGCCGGGTGGGACTTGTAGTCTGGAAGGGGGCGTGTGGGGGCGCTGCGGCGAAGATGGATGAAAGCTAAGGCTTTTGATGCCACGAGAAGGGAAAATGCCTGGAGTGGTGAACGCTTTGGTTCCCCAGCAGGGACGGGAGGAGGTTCTCCGATCCCCCTACGCAGTGCACTGTTCCCAGCTGTGACCGCTCCCGCCCCTCTTGCCCAGGACATCCTGACCGTGTGAATGTTTGGGGGACTGCTGGTGGTGTGTGAGGGTGGGCGCAGCTCAGAGGATGAGACCAAATCTTGGGGGAGCAGGGGAGGCAGAGCTGCGGGGTTTTGACTTTGCTCCGAGTCTAATTGACTCTTCCGCTTCGTAGGAGGCCCAACAGCAGAGCTGAGCCCACCCGGCTCAGGGGAAGACCGTCGGGGGCTAAGGCCGCCCTGGAAGTCCAAGTACGAGCTGTGTTTCTTGAAGAGGCTGAGCCGGGCAAGGCTGTGACATTGGCCCTGGAGACTGGTTTCCCACGAGCTGTTCTTTTTCAAGAGCTCCACGGCGCGGGGCCATCCCCAGAAAACAGTCCTCAGCGTGTATTTCCTTTTAGCGTCAACACGGAGCCCCACGGCAGCAAATGAATGCAAGAGGCCAAAAATGTTTTGGAGGAAGAAAAACAAAGGCAGGAAGTGGCGGCCGACTGACGGTGCGTGTGTGTCAGCGGAGCAGGGAGGGAGCCGTTTCAGTCTCCTCTCGTTGTTTTTCCAAACTTCTCTTCTTGTTGTTTTTCCAAACTTCAAGGTCTAGGCAGCCCTCGCGGGGCCGGCCCCGTCGCTCCCCGCGCAGCGTTTGGAGATGGCCACCCGGAGAGGAGAAGCCTGGCGCCCGCACCAAGCTCGTCAGGCGGAAATGGCTAACGAGGAGATTGGCTCTGCAAAGCAGACCTGGCCTTTCCAAGGCTTCGTTTAATTTGGCCCTAAAGTTGGAGGGGGGAGTTGGGGGTTCTGCAGCGCCTCCGGACCCTCCTCGGGCGGGCTGCGTGCGCCCTGGCAGTGCCGGGACGAATCGTGCGCCCCGCGCTCCACGCGCCTTCGTAGGCGGGATATCGGAATAAAGTGTGTCCAGGTGCTTCTGCCCAGCACTGCCGCCTCCGCTTCTTCTTGCAGCCGACGGGCCTGGGCAGCAGCTGGAGGGCGGTTGTTGGCGGTGCTTGGGGTTGGGTAGCCTCGGCGTGCGCGCGCGGTCAGTGCGCACCGGGGCGATGTGAGGCCTTTTCGCCGGGACTGTCGTGCTGGGGGGTTTTCCAGCACAGTCGTTCGAGGGACCTGAGCCCAAAAGACTGTCACATGATAGGCGGCTTAACACCCGCTCACTCCCAGGGAGAACAGAGCTGGGCGCAGGGAGCACCTCCCGGCTCCGGTGTTCCCAACCCCAGAGGCCCCTGCTGCTAGGATGCCCTCCTCATTCCCTGGAGCTGGCTCGGGCGCAGGCAGTGGTTCATTGTCCTCCAAATCTGAGAATCCAAAATCCCCAGTGCCTGCCCTTGCAACCCGGTGACTGCCCAGTGTACAGTCCATGGTGTGAATGCCAATACCAGGCTGCCCACTCACCCCACTCCCTCCCTCGCCGGTCCCATCTCCTTGCAGCTACTGCTCCAGTCTCCAGCCCAGCTTCTTTCCAGCCCCGTTTCCCCCTCTTCAGCCTCCGGCCTCTGCTGATGCCTCTCATAGGCTGAACAAGAACTGAGGTGCCACTGGAGGGCACCCAGCACTCAAGCACAGAGAAGGGGGGCTGTTAGGTTCCTGACTGTCAGTTCAGGCCTCCACCAGGAGTCGGAACTGGGTTTCTCACCTTTTTCTGAACACTCCATTCCAACGCCCTACCCTGTCCTTTTTCTCCTGCCTCCCCCCCCCTTCTCACCAGCACTTCTGCCTTCTCTTCTTGGGACCCAGCTTCTGCTTTTCTAGGCCCAGCAATCCTGGATGGTAGCCGGCCTGGGAGGAGTCAGGCCCACTTGGCAGACAGAAACTCTCTCCCAAAGATCTATGGTCATTTATCTGTGGATCACTTACTTACGGCACCATTTTCCCCCCTCTTCTTGCTGGTCTGAGTCTCTACCGTCTTCTCTCCTTATATGTCACACCCGTTTCTAGAAAGCTACAGAGAAGACTATGTCAACCCTGGTGACCATACTGCATGCAGGTGCAAGAGCCAGCTGGAGGACCCAGGGTGCAAATGGCCATAGAACACTTTGGGGGGGGGGTTGTTCTGTTCCGAGGCCAGGCCTCCACTAAGCTCTCTCCTCCCCAGTGGGAGGTATCCTGGAGGTACCTCAGTGCTCCACAGTGAGCCTGGGAAACGGGTTCTCAGTCTATCAGCAGATCAGAGCCAATCTATCATTTCCAGGTGCTGTCCCGAGGCAGTGCTGAGGCTGAGATTAAATATCAGGAGACTCCCTTCTGTCACAGCTAGGTGGAGGCAGGGGTTAACTTATCCCCTTGGCCTGGCAAGGTACCCACCCGTCCACAAGCTCCTCTACTCTCCCCAAAAGCATGGGGAACAGGTAATGCCTGGAACTTGACCTTCTGGTTGGTTCTGACCCACAGACTCAATCATCAGAGGTCCCTAAATATGTGAAGTCCACATCCCCTGGCGTCTGTGGGGTGGGGCATAGGGCTCACTGAAAGTCTCGGACCCCCAAACAATCTGGTGATTATTTAGTTTAGTGGGTTCAAACTGATGGGAGGAAGAGGGTTACTTTCTTTGAGAAGAACTATTAGTTTTATTGTGTGTACTCATCAGAGATTTTTCCCCCCTACCAAGTGGGAACAAATGAGTGGGGGGAACTTTGAAGGGCAAAGCCCTGGTTCTCAGTGTCTGTCTTCCAGTTTCCCTGCAACTTCGGCCCAAACGGGTTTCCCCAGCCGATTGTGTCTGCAATAAAGGGGACAAATGAGGGTGGCCCAACCAGAAGGTCAGCTCTGGCCCTGGGGTCTCTGTCCCCACAGTTGTAGCCTACAGGAAACCCCTGTGCTCTTGGGGACTGTTCCTGAGGCTCCTCTGTTTCTACTCAGCCACAATTCATGGTTCATATTCCAGACTTGAGAAGGGCGAGCCCCTGTCCAGTCCAAACCTGCCCTAAGAGTCTCTGCCACATGCCCTGCAAGGCAGCTCTGCGATGGTACCCATCCACAGGAAATCTCTCCAGTAGCTGGTATCCCCACAAGGCCCTGCTCCACCGTGCAGCCCAAGGGATAAAGCCCAGCTTTTCGGTTTTCTGGGGGGCGGAGGGGGGGGGTAGTAACAAAAATCTTTGATTCACCTGGAGCAATAATAAGTGGCAGATCTGGTTTACGGAATTTGTTGATCACTGGTCCTGATGTGGTGACCTGCTGCCAGCAGGCCATGGGCAGAGGGAAGCCCCCTTCCCCCCCAGAACACAGTGAGGGGGTTCTTGGAGCCTGGGACCAAGGATTTTTATCTTTGGCAGAATGCACCTCACGTCTCGGCCCAGATTTTAGGCAGGAAAGGAAGGGCATCAAAAATCTCACCAAAAGGCCTGCCACACACTGAGGGAGCCAGCAGGCCTGGACTCAGGGACCTGGGGAAAGGCTCCCAGGGGGTCCTTGCTCCCTCATCTTATTTTGGGCCCAGTTGACCCCCTGGCCTTACCCCGGCCCTTGTTTCTACGGGAGTTAGGGATTCAGAACTCGGATCCAGCCGCCTTCGGTCTGGTCTGTCCACCTTGCAGGCACTGCCGCCTCTCAGCAGAGCAAGGCCTCGCGGACTCCTGGACCCTGCTCTTCCAGGACTGGATGGTGGCACAGCCTGGGCCATCCCTGGCTGCGGGGACTTTTCCATAGGGCTGGCGGCGATGGAATCAGACACTAAGAAAGCGCCCCTGCTCCCGGTCCTGGAGCCCAGGCTATCAGAACCTGCTTGCCGCTGGCCAATCGCGCGCCCCGTGCCTTCCTGCGGCAGCCGCCGCCGAGACCGGCCCTGACCGTGGAGGCGGTGGCGGCGCGGAGGACTTGACCTTAGCGGCCGGCGGGGAGGTCGCTCTTTGAGCCGGAGGGAGGGGGGTTCGGCCGTCTCCAGCATCTCCCACCCAATAGCAGCCGGGACCACCCTCCCCTGCAGCACCGCTCACCCCTATTCCCCCCTCCACTTCGTGCAGGGTCCGCAGACCCTCAGCCTGAACAAAGCCCCCAGCAGTGCTCTCGCCACCTCCTTTTCGAGCTCTCGTCCCCAACTGCCCTAGGCCAAAAGGCTCGGAGTTAAAGCCAAGCCGGCCAAGGCCCTCCCCAGGGTGCTCTTCCCTCGCTTGACCCCAGCCGCCCTCAGCCAGCGGCCAGGGACTGTTGTGGGTGCCAATCGGGGCCCTGGCCGTGCCAAGTGCGCGC